AAAAAATTCCTTTCTTTAACTATTTACAATACAATGAATATAGTATAAAAGTGAATACATGTAACCTTATTTTTTATTAAAGTATCCAAGACCAATTAAAGTATCAATTGAACAATCATTAAGCTTTTGTTTAATGATTAAGATTAAACTATTAAAATAAACTTGGGGTGAACCAGGAATAAATCAGGAGAATGAAAATGTGTATAAAAGTCATCCCGCCTTTCACATGCTTTTGAATACTGTTCTCTGCAGTATGTCTCAAATGTGAATGGTACAACATGTATGGCATTTTATTATTCTAGCATCGAATCACAGATGAGAGTCAAATGATTTCCTACTGCTTGCTGGAAAAGTGAATGGCTGTCCTTTCCTCTGATGGAACGAAGTGCCTTACACAAAGTGCCTGATGCACCACTAACTTTTTAAAATCTCCATTGACAGACTTTCTTTGAGACAATACAATTTCTAATTCTAGCCAGCAATAATGGGTTTCATGGATAATTGCAACTTTGTCCCCTTGTATTCATTTACCCTTCCCAGAGTGAAAAGAACTGAATATACTTGCCATTTGAAAATTCCTAACACTATCTCACAAGAAAATTAGGACGCACTGGCGACAGTCATGGATCCAATTACTGTACTTAAAAAGATTGCTTTAAAGTCAGAAAGGTTTCCTTTTTTTCTCCTGTTTAGCAGAATTAGTCAGAGGTATGTTCTGTAATGCGGTTCCTTAATAACTATTATTTTTTTATCTCAAATTAACGGTTCACCAGTTCTGCTGTACAACTCCTTCCCATTATATTTTCTGGAGTAATTCTGCTTTTCTCTATTCTTTCTAAACTATAAAAACTCCAGAGTTTCTAAACCATTATGAGTTCATCAGGCCTATTTAGCAAAATTGAGTTCCTTCTACTTTCAGTGATATTTATGTATTTATGCTTGTATACCACAAGATTGACTCACAACACTGTACAGACAAAATTAAAATAGAATTACTAAAATAGAGCCATAAAATAATCTATATACTACTAAAACTCTCCTGTACATCTGTTTATAACCTTTAATTAGGCAAAATGGTGCATTATAAGACAACAGTTTTTGAATCGATGAGCTGACTTAAAGAATGCATACAAAAGCTGGGACCCATTACTCTTTTGGGATTAAAATTTGGCAAAGTTGTGGCCTCTTCAATGCATTATGCTGCCACAGTCAGCCACAGTCATATGTTTATTATTTCCAACACTTCTTGCCAGTTTCTCACAAGGGAAGTCAGTGAGGAAGCTGACACAAAGTTGCTTCTATTCTCACTGCTTTTTTCCAGCACATGGTCATTCCGTTTCTCTGCTTAAGTAAGAAGGTATTTCTGAAACAATAACCCAATGGGTCATAGATTGTCTAATAACCAATAATCATAGGTATTGGCTCAGATGAGAGAGGGAGGGAGGGAGGGAGAGATGGTAAGAAGGAATTATGGAGATAAAGTAGGCCCTCAATTTTTGAAAAATCTTAAGGTACCTAATTTTATAGTATAAAACCCTCTAAATATTCACACTAGTTCTTTCTATTTTGGAAAAATTTAAGTTCAAAATAGGAAACTTGCTTGCATTCAAATAAGAAATGGACAGCCACAGAAGCTTCAACTCATGAAGGCTGTGTGAACATTGATTCATTTGGATTTTTAAAATGCCCAACTCCAGATTACTTTGGGCACCTAATAAATAAAATGAAACAAGAAATAATGAAACAATAAAAAAATAAACATCTAGAAAAAAAACATGTATACTAGAATCCAAACATGCAGAACCGTACATTTTTTAAATGGTCATATTACTAAAGCAACAAAAGCTAGAATGGGGATATGGGACTAAAATTAATACCAGATTGATTGTGATTGGACTGCAGTGTAACAGTTCAGACAGCAGAATAACTGAACCAGTGATTTTGTCTCATTTTGCATACCATTTTGCTTTTTGGTAGTTGTAGTAGCATCTTTTATTTTGCTCCTGTGCTGATCCATTGCTGTGTAAACTGTATTAAAATGCATTCATGTTGAAAACAAACATTTCTACTGCTTCCCAAGAATTCTTACTGGTTTTGTTTCTTTCCAGCTTTTGCCACACAAATGAATCATCTCTTTGCACCTCATGGTTCTAATCCTGCTGCTACTCCAGCCCCAACCCCATCATCGGTTAAGGCAATAAGCCACTCATCAGCACTTCCATCGACAGCTGTCCCAGGGATAAGTGTGTCCAACCCTGTCTTTCCTGTCTTCCCTGGGCAGGTTATCTCCTCCGTCCATCCGCCTCAACCATCCACGCCCATCCCTCCTGTTGTCAAATCCCATTCGCTGCCTGCAGTTCCTGCCACATCTGCTCACAGTGCCACCTCTGCTCCCCTCCCTGCTTCTTTCTCTGGACTGGCTTCTGTGCTGCCTGCCGCTGCAGCACCCCAAGGGCTCTCCACATTGTGTGCCACCCCTGCACCTAATGAAGCTTTTGCATCTGCCCCGGCTCCCTTCGCCAGCCTTCCTTTTTCTGCAGCGTCTGTCACTGCCCCGGCTAATAATCCTAACTCATTGTCATCTGCTTTTGCTGGCCTGCCTTTATCCTTGACCCCCAATTCTCAGGGAGTAGCTAGCTCCATTTCATCGACCATTGCCTGTTCTCCTGCCACTAGTTTATCTTGCCCAGTTAATTTACCCAACCCACTTTTATCAGCTTTAAAGGGGTTTCTCTCAGTAAACGATAGCTCATTACTTAATTCAAGTGCCCTGCCTTCGACTGTGACTGCTGAGCTTGCTTCTTTATCTGGTCTTCTCAGTCAGAATTCGGAAGCTGCCTCTTCATCCAGTAGCAAATGTTACGCTCCAACTGTTACCTCTTCTCTTCAGCATCCTTCCACTCCAGGACTCTCCATTTTCTCAGGCCTCCCCTGTCAGCCAGGAGGGAGCAGTAGTGCAACTTCTCCTGCATTGTCATTGCAGTCCCCTTCAATAACAATGTCGTCATCCAACTTGCCGGTCAGCTGTGGCTCCTCAGTGGGTCTTGTGCATTGTCCAAGCCCTGCCAATCCTGAACAGCAAGTTTCCTCCACTCCAGTTGCCCCAGCTCTAGTTAAAACAGAACCCATAAGCCCGACTCTTTCAGGTCTCAAAATCCCAACCCTTTCTGCTGGGCTCAATCACAGCACTTCAGGCTTGCCAGCCCTTGGACATGCCTATTCCTCAGCTACTTCATTACCATGCAGCTTAACTAATTCCCTCAATTCAGCACTTCCCCCTTTGACCTCTCATCTGAACAGTTCCCCATCTATTCCCTCCCACGCTTCATCCACTCCAGTATACAATGCACTTCCTCCTTTCACTTCTTTGACCAATAGTTTTGCTTTTACTGGCAATCCAGCACTTACCCCAACTGGGCCTCTGTTGTCCATTCCACCTACAACTACGTCTGCCGCACACGCCAGCTCCTCAGCCCCCGTTCTTCCACCACTGATTGCCACCGCAGCTGCCCCGGCTCCACCATTCCCCCTTAACTTGTGCAGTGCTGTCTCTTCCCTGTTTTCTGTTCCTCAAGTGCCCCTGGGCTCATGCAATTCATCCTTCCCTCCTTTCCCTGTCTCTAACACACCCTCTGTCACTCCTGCTCTCCCTTCTTTCCCTGGGCTCCAGGCATCCTCTACAATAGCAGCAGTTGCACCCCTGCCAGCAGCTGCCACAGCCCCATCTCCAGCTCCGGTGCTGCCAGGGTTTGCCTCGGCCTTTAGCTCAAACTTCAACTCTGCACTGGTTGCACAGGCTGGGTACGTTTACTCCAAACAGTCAGAAGTCGTTTTGGCACATTTCTTAACAATGTGCAATATGAAGTCTTAAGTATGAATGATAAAATACTGATTATTATGCTTGCTTTCTGAATTCTCTTCAGACAGAGAATTCTGTCAGTTCTCTTGTTAAATGTTGACAGATCCTATCTATGTTTTTTTCTTAATTCCCTTATTCTAGCAGGGAAAGGTTTAGCCTAACAGAGGATATATAATTGTTTTAAATTGATTGGAACCTTTGAAAGATATTCTAATTAGGGGTAAAATATTGGGATATTTCTACTACATATACTGAAATAGCCAATTCCAAATTAGCATGACTTTGGGTCAGTCACTCACTTTCAGCCCTAACCACCACACAGGGTTGTGGTGGGAAAAATAGGAAGAGGAAGGGATATCTAGATAGATAGATGATAGATAGATAGATAGATAGATAGATAGATAGATAGATAGATAGATAGATAGATAGATAGATAGATAGATAGATAGATAGATAGATAGATAGATAGATAGATAGATAGATTTGCCACCTTGAATTTATCAAAATAATAAAGGTGAAATATAAATAAATAAAATTAAATAAATATTCACATTAAAAACACTTCTTGATCAAATGTTGATTGCTTCCATACATTGTATCTATAGAAGCAGTATGGTCATAGATTGGAATGTAGCAATTATCTTTTTTTTTTTGTACTGTTGGCTGTGTGAATTTGAAAATGTTCTGCTTCTGCATTTTTAGCCTGACGTCTGGACTCCAGGCCCCTGGAAATACAGTTTTTCCAGGACTTCTGTCTCTTCCTGCCATCCCTGGACTTGCTCAGAGTGCAACGCAGTCTTCCCTCCAGGAACTTCAGCACAGTGCAGCTGCGCAGTCAGCATTACTGCAGGTAAAACAATATATAAATAGAAAAGATAAACATCAAGAATAGAGAAATGATAAGTAACAAATACAGTGTACAGTGTACAGAGAAGAGCAACAAAGATGATTAGGGGACTGGAGGCTAAAACATATAAGGAACGGTTGCTGGAATTGGGTATGTCTAGTTTAACGAAGAGAAGGATGAGGGGGGACATGATAGCAGTGTTCCAATATCTCAGGGGCTGCCACAAAGAAGAGGGAGTCAAGCTATTCTCCAAGGCGCCTGAAGGCAGGACNATCTACAGTGAGAATAAAAGTATTTTATCTACAAAAACACATTAAGTTTTTATTTTATTTTGGTTATTTAAAATTTGATGCGAGGAAGAAACAGCAGGGATTGTATGTGGAAGCAGAGAATTTTGGTGGAAAAATATCTAAATTTTTACAAAATGTGTAGTTTAACATATAGGCTATTATGTGGAATGTATCATTCATTTATATGTATGTAAATTGCTACATTTCCATAGCCTCGTTGGAATTAATGATCTCTATGCAGAATGGATCAGCTAAGATGGTCTGCCCCAGGTACCTTCTGGATCTCTTACGGATTTCCAGTAGGTGCTTGGAGTCAAATAGTCAGATCATCAGCCTCCAGAAATCCTTCCTATAATAAAGCCCTTAACAACAGAACAGTCACTTGCCCGCGATAAAGATGTGTACTTGTGCAATGTTGCATGAAATCGGGCATTTGAGATTTTTTAAATTGCAAGTTTCTGATACTGTGGTTATAAATTTTAAAATATTTTTTCCCAAGCCAGCATCCTTGGAATTCTGTCAATGTGGCCTTTAACTGGGAATTCTTGAAACTATTCAACACCTCTAGAAGTCACACTTTTTACTCTGTACGAGATAACAGATACTGAACATCCACGTTCAATGCCTCATTTTTATTACAGTTGTAACTGTATTCCTCTATCAACTGTATTCCTCATACCAGTGCTACTATTTGGCTGTGTCATAAAATGTCCTCGTCCATTTATTTTTCCATTAGGAACAAAGTGTGAAATTTGTGCAGATGCATGTAAGCAATGTAACTTTCATTTACATACTCTGAAACACTGAATTAAACTTTCTGAGTGTTGTATTTTATCTTCCTTGCTGGCAAATTTGGATTTTGGAAGGGCCAAGGATCCAGCTTGTAGACATACCATTAATTTCTTGTTTGTTTCTTTAAAGATACACTCTGCTTCTGCTCTAGAAAACTATGCTTCTCAATCTGAGGGTTTCAGTGCATATCCTCCAGCAGCAGGAACACCTGGAACACCTTTTTCAGTGCAGGCAAGTCTTCCCCAGACTGGATGGCAATAATGAACATCAATTTCAGATATGAAGAAGAATGCTCTAAAAGCTTATGATGCTTCCTTCAGAAAACACATTTTCAGAACATATAATTCAAGAGAGATTCCAACTACAATAACTGTTGCTGAAATGGTATCAAAATTGGACTTTTTTTACTTTCATATCAATGACCCTAGGAAGTCTTTATTCCATTTTTCATAGTAAACTCTGGGGATACTTTGATTCAGGTAGGATTTTTAAAATCCAGAATAACTGGATCACTGAAAAAAATTGTTTTTGCTGTGATATCAGTGTTTTACAGATTGTTAAAAAAACACTGCAATGCATGAGGTATAGGTACTGATTTAAAAATGTAGTTCAAACTCCCTATCTATCCCCTTCAACTTCTTTTAGGAATTTAATCTTGTGCATCTGCCTACTTTATTTAGGCTGAGCGGATTTGCACTCCTCAGAACTTTCTGCCTTGTTCTATAGAATCAATTCTAATTTTTTTGTTCATTCTTTTTAAAAATTGCTCATCCATCGCTATTTACTCTGATGCAGGTAGCCCTCAACTTAGAACCATAACAGGGACTGGCAATACATTATGAAACGGTTAAGTGAGGCATCACATGACTGCATCCAATTTACAACCTTTGCCATTAAATCTTGAAGCAAATCTCCCATCAGTCATTGAAACATCAGATGACTGTGACTTGCAATCTCCTGCAGGCTTCACCATTGACTTTGCTTATCAGAAGCTGGCAGGGAAAGTTGCAAATGGTGATCAAATGACTGGAGGACCACTGCAGCTGTTAGAAATGCAAGACAAACACCCAGATTGCAATCACATGACTGCAGGGACTGGTTGTAAGTTACCTTTTCAGCATCATTGTAATTTCAAATAGTTGCTAAACAAAATGGTTGCAAGCAGAGGACTACCTGTACTTGTTACTGAAAGTTCTACTACTTAACAATTTGTCTCAGGTCCTTCCATGGTGATACCTTCAGGATGTCTTGGCATTTCAGCTTCAGAATAGCTGCATTTTTGAAGTGGTAATTCCAACACACCTGGGAGGTATTAAGTAGGGAAAGCTGTTTTTACTTTGTTTTAGCAATCTACCTCCCATCAGTAATTTGTTCAGTCTTCTAGGATACCAGAAGCCTGCTGTAGGTATGTATTTTTTTAATGTGTAACTTCAGATTAAGTGTACAGTTTCCTTCAATCAGTAGCAAATACATTTTGTAGATTATAGTTTATGTTTCATAATAAACAAAATGTTTTTATCCAATTCATGAACAAGGCACTGGTAATAACACTACTAATGGGTCTAATGTAGCCCATCAAATATAATAAAATATATTGAAGAGTTTTGGATTTGTGAATCAAGTATTCACTTTATTTATGACAACAAAACAAATGCACATAATGTCAGATTCGAATGACTGTGGTTAAATTCTGGAACATTTTAAATTTTTAAACAGGTAGAGCTGGGTTTTCCCACAGACTCTTTTCAGTAACACTGGGGGGGAGGAGCCAAAATAATGAAATACATTTATTATATTGGCTTTTTGAAATTAAGACCAATTATTCTAATTATGAATTGTGCAATATAACACTGTTATATGCTATTTTAATAAAGTCTTCTGTACTATTTCCTATAACTCCTGGGAAAGTTATGGCTCTTCAGCTGTTCTTATACAGGTAGTCCTCAACTTAAGACCACAATTGAGCCCAAAATTTATGTTGCTAAGTGAAGCATTTGTTAAGCGAGTTTTGCCCCATTTCAGGACCTTTTTTGCCACAGTTGTTGAGTGAATCACTGTAGTCGTTAAATTAGTAACACAGTTGTTAAATGAATCTGGCTTTGCTTGTAGGAGGTTGCAAAAGATGATCACATGACACTACAACACTGCAGTGTTCATAAATACAAGTCAGTTGCCAAGCGTCTGAATTTTGATCACGTGTCCATGGGATGCTTCACCGGTCATAAGTGTGAAAAATAGTCATAAGTCACTTTTTTCAGTGCTGTTGTAACTTTGAACGGTTACTAAATGAACTGATGTAAGTCGAGGACTACCTGTATTGTAGTTCCTAACATCCTTTAAATGATGACTATGCTTTAAAAGGCTGCTGGGAGTTATAGTTCATCAACAGCTAAAAGATACAGCTTCATCAGCCTCAATTTAACATCTCTAGTGATGAATATAACCCCTGCCCCATATTAGCTCTTAAAATAATTTTGATCATATTTTAGATTTATAATAGATATACTTGATGTTAAAATTTTAATGTGAACTTAATGCACTTTGTTGCAGTGCATAGCTTAATGTTTTTTCTAAAGATGAAAGTCTACTGAATAGTATTATTAATGTAGAAGTTTTCCATAGGTAAGCAGGTATGGAGAATGCTAATATGTATATAGCTGTATTTTTATATATTTTTTAATAAAATGAATAGCAATGTTGTTTCTAAAATAGACTGAATAAACAGTTCTTTACAAACCTGCCTTTGAGTAGTTTTTTACATAATAAATTAATACAAACAATGTAATACAAGATTAATATCCAGTTTAGTCATTCTACAGCAAAACAGTCACTGCTGTTAAATCAAATCGCCTCTTATCCCTGCTACTACCCATACTAGTGTACATGTGCACATATATCCAAGCTATTCAGACCATTCCTTTTTAGAATAACCAATGTTATGCAGAACACAAAAAGAAATAGTAAAGAATGAAAGGTATTGGATATAAAAAGGAATTTTAACTAAAACTAGCTTACACCAATATCGTTGCAACCATCTTTGCTTCTACAGTATTCATATACTGCTTCTTTCTAAATTTCTCACCTCTTTCATTTTCTCATCAACTCCATCCAAACACAATTTTCTCAGCCTTCCTTTTCCTCTCAGTCTATGCACGCTTCCTTCATATATTGGTTTTCCTGCGCAGCTCTTTCTTTCAGTAGGAACAAGTCTTCCCAATGAATCATAGTTGGAAGACCTTGGAGGTCTTCTAGTCCAACCCCCTGCTCAAGCAGGAAACCATTTCAGACAATGATGTATTTCTTTTGTATTCATAGAAGCATGCTACATATAGGTTGGAAAGTGTTCCCCAGGGTGCTAACAAACATTGCTGTGGAATGTGGAGTTGGAAGATCCTAGATTCAGTGCCATGTTTCACCCCAAAACAGCAACTTAAAAGTTTCTGCTTTTCTTTAAATCACAAGCTGGCTTACTAACATTTGATGGCCATTGTTTGCTTTACAGCAGTGTTTCTCAACCTTGACAATTTTAAGGCATGTGGACTTCAACTCCCAGAATTCCACAGCCAGCATTGCTGGCTGTGGAATTCTGGGAGTTGAAGTCCACATGCCTTAAAATTGTCAAGGTTGAGAAACACTGCTTTACATGATTCCTTTGGCATAACTGTCAGTTAAGCATCTTGAGATGAGGGAGAAGCACTAAAATTAATAGCAGAGCTGCCTTGTGACCGAGATGGGAAACAAATCCAATAAATAAGTAAAAGCTTTTATAAGCTCTTAATTTACTGTGACTTCTGAAAAAAGGTAATGTTTCATTTAGCATTTTTCCTGCATCGTCATAAAAGCCTATACATGGAACTAGGCTGGGCACATACGGATTCAAGCCGTTTGTGAGGACTGACAAGCAGTCCCTTTTCTCCCGGTTAACAGCGGAACTCGTAATGGTACAGCTGTCGCATCACGGGATCCTTGCCTTACAATCCAGGTTAGAATGTGCCCCTCTCTGCCTCGGAAACTACTGTAAAGGTTCCTGTATAGTAGGGGTAGTCAACCTTGGCTCTTTTATGACTCGTGGACTTCAACTCCCAGAATTCCTGAGCGCTGGCTCAGGAATTCTGGGAGTTGAAGTCCACGAGTCATAAAAGAGCCAAGGTTGACTACCCCTGCTGTATAGAAATACCCTTCAAACGAGCAGGTGTGAATGTAATTGATTTACACAAACTCCCTGGAGGAAATTCCACTCTTTAGATCTAGAACTGCAATCAGAAAAGCTTCCAGAAATAAAATAAAACGCCGCCACCGAGTTATCAGTTCCGAAACGGGACAAGAAGCTTAAAAGAAGAGCAATCAACCCACTCGCCCACTCCGATTTAGCCCCCCCCTCCGACGAGCGAAAAAGACGCGCGTGCGCACTCGATTGGGTTCGGCTCGCCCGGCGCAACCGTGGCGCCGCCAGGAGCGTCGATGTTCCTGCGCGTGAGCATTGCCAGTGCGGGGCGAGGCCGCGGCGCTTTTCAAGCGGCTTGATGGAGTCGGCGGTGGAGGAGTTGATGCCCCGCCTCTTACCTGTAGAGGACTGCGACCTCGCGGAAGACTTCGACCCCACGGTGCCCCCCCGAACCCCCCAAGAGTACTTAAAGCGGGTCCAGTAAGTGAACTGATCGGTGGTGGCGCCCGCCGTGGGAGGGGGAGGCCGGTTGGGGATGGAGCTGCGCTTGATGAGTCGGCGAAGTCGGATCCGGTCAACCCGGCGTTAATATTTATATGAAATGGCCGCTATATTTATATTTATTCCTATGCGGCTTGCATAGGAGTAAATGCAACAAACGTTTCTTCTATAATGATGAACGGTTCTGGTAGGACCTGACAAATTAGAGGTTCGCCTGGGTATAGTCTTGCTACTGATAATGCAGTATGGCGGTTTGGTTTTTGTGCTGGTGGGATTTCCTGCATTAATGTAAGGAAAGTTAATACTGAAATTCGGCTTTAAATCCACTCGTACTGTCCTTTTCATAGTGATTTATTTGGGTTTTGCCAGTTTTTTTAAACTCTAATAATATTGGTTATCCATCCTCTCCAGATAATAAATAAGACATGCAGACCCGGTATAATTAAATGATCTGCAGTCTTGGATTAAATGGAATGAAAAACACCTGAAACATTTCTGCATTGTGCTATGAATCTAAATCAATTTTAAAACTGAATTCATTATGGCAACAATTTCAAAGAATACATCCTCTAGCCTAGTTTTGTTCAAACTGTAATCCATTATGGAGTGTAGTCTTTAGGTATGTAACAAACCCACCCATTTTGTCTCATTTTCAAAAACCCAGACTGATACTCAGATAAAGCCAGAATGATTTTTAATGCTTTTTCAGGCTTAATTCTTTAACTCCTAAATTAGGTTTGATTAGAAATTAAAAAGCA